AAACCCCGTAAGGTTCAGGCTAGCGCCATGCGACGCGCAACGAATTCCGACGAAACAGAGACGAGACGAAGAAACAAACGAAACTCCGGAAGATCGCCCGCGGTGTGGTTTTAATAAAACAGCCGCGGGATTAAAAACCGTCCGTTGTAAATTACAAAATGAAATCCGGCGTTCGCGGGTTGGCCGCGATCGTACCCGGCCGGAATTGTTGCTCCGCTGCGAGCACGCTCCCCCGGAAAAATAACGGAAACAGCCGGCGAAGGAGCCGGGTATTGGATCACATTGTTCGGAAAATTGATAGTGACAATATCGCCGCGGACTCAACAAAGGGCCCGGCGAAAGGGAGAAGGATAGGGAGCGAGGAAAAGGAAATACATCCTCCGTGATCCTGCCTCGTGGTTCTTCTTCGGTGAAACGGACGCTGTAACGGGAACGCGTACGGTTCTATAAGGTGCTTCAAAACTGAGGTTAGTAGTGAATTTGGAATTGATACGGAATTAAATATTTTCTATGTTTCTTAACCGTTTCGATGCTATTTATATTATGATGCGTTTCGTTTTGATCTTACAGTAACATGATCTAAAATGAAAATTATTCATTGAACGTGTGAACTCATCCCTAGTTGCAAGAGTATTAACATTATGAATATCTTCTTAAACTAACAGGAACACTACGATCCACCAAAACACAAAAATTCTACATCCAACAATGACTGAACTTGTCATCCCTAGTTGCAAGACTAATCAACAAGTAAATATTTACGAATATACAATGCGAGAAGAATCAAATCTTTCCAATCTTTTTCACGTTTAAATATTATCTTGCACTAATATAAACATTACGATCTATCAGGACAAGAATCATTCATCAAACAAGTGAACTCATCCCCAGTTGCCAGACTAATCAACAATCGAACACCTATAAATATCATCTCAAACTAACACAAACATTACAATCCACCAAAACAAAAATCCTCATCCAACAACAACCGAACTCCTCATCCCCAGTTGCAAGACTAATCAACAAGTTCAAACATAATGAATATCATCTCAAACTAACACAAACATTACAATCCAAAACACAAAAATCCTCATCCAACACCGACCGAACTCCTCATCCCCAGTTGCAAGACTAATCAACAAGTTCAAACTTTGGAACACCCTGTAACGAAGGTAGGAGGAGCATCCGGGGGTTACTTCGCAGCTCCGACGCGCCCTCCGCTTTCCCCACGACGAGTTCATGTAAGTTTGTTCCATGATATACGGGAAATGTTTTCCGCGGCGCGTCATAAATAGCCGCCGGCTGAAAAAGGAAGAGGAACAACGGGTTCTCCGCAGCGTGCCGCGTCTGCGAGGGCTGGAAAAGAAGAAGAAGAAGAAGAGGGAGAAGAAGAGGAAGAGGAAGATGAAGATGAAGAGGAAGAGGAAGGGATCCCAGCACAAAGGTTACGGAGAGAGAACAGCGAACAGGATCCGACGCATCAGCCGCGACGTTTAATGGGGAATTATGGCCGCAGATAGCGGCTCCGTCTCACGGCGTGGCGTACCATAAAGGGATAGATAACCACCGCCGCGGTATCTCGTTGCCGCTACGCGAACATTGGAAATTGTACTTAACCCTCGTTCGACGAAAGCACGGGCTCGACCTTTGACCGAGCTCACGCTGTAGTTCCGGCGAGCGCGGTTCGGGATAGTTTGACTGGAAGTCGTGCGGGAAGTCGTTGCTTTTGTTACGGATAGTGAACACGGTTTTCCGAATTTCCGGGAATCGGCATTCGGTTAACGTGATTCGGATTACTCGGCCGGAACGGATGTGTTCTTGCTGTTGAAATCGGCTGAGGTTCGCTGTTATCGTTGCGGGATTGTCGCAGGGGAAGGTTCACTCTGATATTGCATGGGTTAACGTTATGTATTTCTGATTTTGTTTATGAGTATTGGAAGGGAGATTGATGGAAATTAGGGGTTTTTGGGTTGTATTGGTAGTAAGTTGCTGGATCTAATCATAATCAATTGCAGTGACTCAACTACAATATAAGGTTGTATTGGTAGTATGTTAATTTTTGGAACTTGTTAAACATAATCAATTGCACTGACTCAATTACAATGTAAGGTTGTATTAGTAGTTGATTGCTGGATCTTGTTAATTATAATCAATTGCAGTGACTCAACTACAATATAAGGTTGTGTTGGTAGTAAGTTAATTTCTGGATCTAATCATAATCAATTGCAGTAATTCAACTACAATGTAACCAAGTTTAAGTTAGAATATATTTGCACTTGTAAGTAAGCTTATTTACAATATAACATAAACATTGTATTCAGAATTGTCAGCTTCAATATCCCACAATCTCTAATACAATTATAAATATTAAATATTACTTAATAATAATCAAACACCTATTCTACAATCAGTTCAAATTCACCTCAATCCTCAGTGAATCTGCCCCACTAATCACAATTAACCTAGTAAACCTAATTATACAATTCCACAAGAATCATTCCTCGAATCGACCCACTCTTAAATTCCCCTTTCCCAACGGTGAAAAACGTAGCAGATGCTCCGAGGAATTCCCGAAGAAATGGATTCAGTAATGCGCAAACTGTATCACGAGTCAATTGTAGTCTCGGTGGCTGCGCTGTTCGAGATCCTGCAGGAAACTTGGACAAAGTCAATTCGACTGCTCGGCAGTTCTACCGTTAAAGCGAGGTCTACTTTAAAAACGCAACTGCGATATGAAATTCCGGGTGTGCTCGCCGCCATCTCGGAACGAATTTCTCTCTGGGAAGAATCGCCGTTCCCCTCCGCGCCCGCCTCCTTCAATACGAGGGCAAGTTTCGCTTTAAATTTTCAACGAACCCTTTGGTGACGCCCCCCGAGACCGACGGCCGGATTCTTCGCGAGCTTCGCAATCCCTGTTTCTTTTTTCCCGATGTAAATTAACCGCGCGACAACCTTGACGGCGCCGGAACTTTCGCGGATCTGCGAAACGAAGTTGCCCGACGCCAAGCCGCGATCCGCGAGAACTCGTTAACCGTCGAAAGACTTCGAGCACTGTCTCGTCGCCGTAAAAAATTGAGTAGGAGTTTAAAGAGCAGTGAAGGAGGAGAGCGAACGGCTTTGTTCGAAATAAGGAGATTATTTTCGCGATTGATACGGGTACAAGATGTTCGGCGCCGTAGAAATTTAGAGGATCAGATGCGTGGAAATGTTATAATTAGTCGTTAACGCGGCGAGGAGGATTTAATGGGGGCGTGGGTACGCTTTGTAGATTAATGGGTTCGTGGAAATGTGTGTGCGTGGAATGTTTCAAGTGTCTCTGTTGCTAAGGATTGTGGGAAAGTATATCTTTACGAAATTATGATTTATTAGGCGAGTTTGTTAGGCGAGAAATGGTAATAACTTTGTTTGTAGATTAAATTATTAAAATATTATTATTAAAGTAGCTTTGTTTGTAGATTACTGGGTTCGTGGAACATTTTAAGTGTCTCTGTTGCTAAGGATTCTGGGAAAATATGTCTTTACGAAATTATGATTTATGAGGTAGGTTTATTAGGCAAGAAATGATAATTACAATTTTTCTTTGAGATTGGTTTTTAGGAAATTTTGATCGATATTGTGATTTTGTATCATATGTTCTGTATAGTTTATAA